GTTCCCAGATATGATCTCTATGTTTCATCTCATAGAGACATAACTTGGGACTGTTACCTGTATAAAATAATATTGTTGCGGTGCAGTGAAAATTGAATTCTGAAGTAGGCACAAAGTGTAGGTAGGGGTAGTACAGAATTTTAGTATAAGTTTAAACTCTAACAAGTTCGGAGCATATAAATGCTGAAAATATGCCGCACAGCCCTATGTTTTGACCTTTGAATTAAATAGTAGTGCATATGAACTTTCCATTCTAGGAACTAATTTTTTGCGAAACTTCATAGTAAAAGTGGCACGGTTTTAGCCGCAAAAGGAGTTTAATGAGAAATTGCATTGTCTATATTTACAGAAATGCAACCTTTAACACTTCATGATTTTAAAGAAGAAAATAGGTTTAACAAAAAATGGCAATTCGACTAGATGATGTAAGAAGGTTAAACTTCTATTTATTTAAGAACAGATCAAACATTGAATCATTTCAATATAATACTAATATTAATATACTTTTACTGTTACATATATTAATGTGACTGTATGGTTAGTACATTTAATCATCCTTAATTGACACAAATTGCTGATCTGCAAGATATTCCATCTGGGTGCCACCAAACATCATGTACTGTGTTATAAACCTAAATAAAGCTGACGAAGAAAAGCATACGTAGACTAACAAAAGCTATATATCTTAAAGGCTTGTTGGTCGAGTGAACTAGGCGGTTGGACACAATGCAGGCGGAGTTGACATAATGTCATAGAAGCATGGGTTCGAAGCCCGCTGTTGGAGGAACAACCATTTACCAACGCAAATTTGTAGATTGTGACAACTTTACGAAAAACGATTCAAACCTCTGCTTCTGTGACATCACGGTTCTACCGCCTGCACTAGTTTGGTGTAGGGACGTAGACAATGTAGGTAGTGATGCGTTGATGTCACAGAAGCAGGGGGTCGAATACCGCTGAGGAAAGAACCTTTTGACAAACGCAAATTTGTTTCTTCATTTTTTTTTTTTATATATTATTAGTTATGGAATTTACTGACCCCATACCTATCGTATTAGGTCAGCAGAACACTGTGTTACTAATAATACATAAAAAAAAAAGAGGAAAACAAATTTGCGTTCATCATCAATTTCTTCATCTGTTATCCGGGTGAAACGTTTCAGATTTTCCCTCAACCCCGTTTGTTTTTATAAAGGGACATAACACCACTACTAACCGTGTATCAAAATAAACCACGCCTACAAACTCATATTAAATTTACAGGGTCTCCACGCGGTCGCTTTCAACCAATGATATTCATAGAAATGTATAGGAGGTTAGTTAAATGTATATACTAGATAATAATAATTAATGCTTGTTTCGTTTTGCGTTGGATAAAAAATCAGTTTCTGTATTTCATATCAATTACTTTTTTGACTTTGAAAATTAATAATAACTTAAACAGACAAAAATACTGTTAAGTTACACATGGAAACTGAAAAATTTAACAAATCCACTGTATTTTAGTCAGGAAAATTAGCAGATTGACAATACGAGAGGCCTTCACCCCTTATTTATCTCCCAATTTATAAAGTGCAGCAACATTCCCCTTCTCTATCAAAACTGAAAGTACTATCAACACCAGCGTACAGAAGACGCTACTTAGTTGAAAAGCTTGCGTCTGATCCATTCGTCTTTTTGAACAATAAAATACGTTTAAACTAAATCATCGTATAGTTACACATCTAACATCACCTCTAAAAGGAAAACACCATAAATATGAGGGTGCGCTTACTTAATTGATTAGTGAGTACAACTTAAAAAATATAAAACAGTTATGAAAAAAAAAAATTATGACAATGTGTACTTTTAAATTACCTCCATCTTTGCAAGAAACCACAAAAGCCCTTCAAAAAGTGAAATCAGTATACCATACAACTGAAACAGGAAGACAGGGAAAAAAGGGTGGAAAACATGACTCTTCGCAACTCAGTTTGAAAACTAAAGGTAAGCTTCAAAGACCTTCCAAGCTGGAATGTAGGCCTCATTCTGGACTTTGACATCAATCATTCGTTCTGCTACTGCACATTACAATGTTGAACATAAAAAAGACACGTTCATCCAGAATTGGAACATATACGCTCGATAACCGGCCATGTTCTTTAAAAAAAAACTTTTCGCAATACGAAAATATTTTTTCAATAATCCCGTGTTCGTTGATCCAAGTCAGGAAAATGGCCATTGTTATATTATAGTTCGTTTCTATGTGTGTTACATTTTAATGTTGTGGTTTTGTTATGTCGTTGTTCTCCTCTCATATTTGATGCGTTTCCCTCAGTTTTAGTTTGTAACCCGGATTTGTTTTTATCTCTATCGATTTATGAGTTTCGAACAGCGGTATACTACTGTTGCCTTTATTTTTCGGTTACGTGGTCTAATGTGTTATATTAAGATACCGACATATGTAACATCATTTAAAACTTTTATGAAAGGTCTCCCTCTGAATAAACTTAAGGATGAAAATGACACGACATACAACTAGTGACACATAAAAACACCAAAATGTTTATTTATGAATATGCGTTTCTCCTACTTTCACGATGACGATGGTGATGTTGATTTTACCGTCTTTACAACAAAGAATACATCACAAAACTACATTAACTAACGGCCCATCTTTTCGAAATAAAACGTTTTACATGCATTCATTGAAAGTTGTACAAACTCAACAGTTCTGGAGTACAGAGTTCCAATATTATGAAGACTATCAAAAACTTTACATCAATGTCGAGTTCCATGACGTTATACTACGACAGACATTATGTCTGCCAGATTGCCTATTGACCAGATCTCTCTTGCATCATTTTTCCATCATAGTTTGAGTAATTTGAAGATTGAAATACTTGAAATAAGGATGAAATTTTTAAAATCTTTTTTTCAATTTGTTTTCCTTTTGCTTTGATTCTTCTTTCAAAAGGAGTTTTATAAAATTGCTAATGAAAATATGTCTCGGTTATATCAGCTGTCACTGTTGGTCCTGATATTGATATAAAGGTACATTGTAGCAGACTGTTGTAGTTGTGTTTTGTTGTGTTTATATATTATTCTCTCTTTTTTTGTTTCGGTTATAAAATCTATAAAATCACATCATAGTATGTGTGCTATAAATCATTCGAAACACATGGGATAGGGACGTCAATCTTCTATGTATCTATTTTGTAACAACCGTTGTGCTGCTCGCCTTTTCACTTTGTTTAATGTCAAGGTGACTACCCTAAACTAAGTGAGACAGAGGTTTAGTCTATATGAATATCCATTCAAATGTAATGAATATATTTCAGTTGTAAGTTTTGCAATGTGGACCTTGAGTGCTGACTTATCGATTATATATTTAGCGGATATGTGGATTCAACATTTTTTACAGGTTTAAATGTCTGTAATCAAGTGTGATTCCGAATGTTTGTGACCACTCAGTAGGCTGTGTGCCATAAGAATATAGATTATAGAAGAAGGTAACAAAAAATGTGAATTGACGATAACATTTACCTCATCAAATCAAAATTAACAAACGTTTCACGAAATTTTTTGTTTTAATCATCAAAATAAATACCTCTTTTGGGCCTTTTATGTTTTGATGCACTTAAACGTTATATATACTTTGCTTTCTAAAATTTTTGTCTCGAGCGAAACTAGATGAAGATAAATCAAGATAGACGAATAACGCTCGGACATATTTTTTACTGGACGATGAAATTAATTAGTGATATGTCAGATGAAAGAGCATACAGAGATTTACAGTATGTGCCACAAAATTTTTAACACCTGCCTATAGAAATTCTCCAATAATATCTACTGCTCTAAGGGTTTATACATGTCCAATACTAACCCAATTTTTGATATCATCCATATCGACACGATATCGAATCGATATCGATGACGAACTTATACGCCCATTACAAATCCAGATGTTGATATCGATGATGACAGTAGACGATGACGAAACAAACTAAATATTTTTGTCTATAAATTAGAGCCACAGTAGTTTACCGATGTTCAAAATTTAGAAATATTTAATTTAATATCAAATCTTAATTTTTTCTCTAATTGGACTATTTCATAACTTGCCTGGAACGATGAATGAGTGTTATGTGGTTCAATTTCTAATATATAATTGTCTTTGTATTTGCTATTTAATTATGATATCTTACTTATTCATCAGAACAAGAAGGATAAATGAATGACATCGTAACACCCAATATGAGTGTGACGATGTCAATCTTATATTAACACATATGTAAATATGAACATGAAATAAAAATTCTATAAACAGAGTTTCTAATATCCTTTTAAGATTACAATTAAATTTTCATTGATTATCGGGAAATGCCAAAAAACACTAAAAGAATTTCGTGCGACCAAGACGCACTTCGCAAGAGGGTTGGGAGCTTTTCCTATATAAAGGTATACACAGACGTGGCCATGGTATTGATCATTTTTCGAGATGTGAAATATATCAATGGGTGCATGTTCACAGAGGTAATATAATAATGAGAGGAAATACTTTAAAGGGGTCATGGATGTTCATCTTCTATTAAAAGATGCCACGTACAGATTGTACGTCTAACCGATAGCTGGGTAATATATTAATGGGTTGTAATTTTTCTAGGAAATAAATGTATGGATATGGATTTTTTCAAAAATCAATATATGAATTGGGGCTGGCTTTTAAACCCAACTTGGACGTCTATATCCATCACAGTATGTAGAGCCCCCCCCCCTTTCCTCCCATCCCCAAGGCTTTTCTGGAGTAAGATATAGATTAAGGTATACGAAATTTTAAATGAAGTACACTAGTGTCTTATAAATTGATCTTCATCAGGAATGCTCAAAATTAAACATTTCAAAGTCAGGGATGAATGTGACGCATTAAAGATTCTGCGTTTTCACTACCTGCTAAAGGAGACCATGTGATGTACAGAAAATCAAAGACGACAAAAATTTAGACTCAGACAAATACCACATTAATTGAACATAAACATATTTTTTATAATAAAACACTTAACGACAAATAACAATAGGTTAAAACATGCTGTTAAAATAAGTATAAACTTTAAGAGATTCATGATCAGCACTCATGACGCCTTTAATTCACATAATGTTTATTTAATTGTTTGTATAGACTATAAGCATTATGGTTTAACGTATATATTATTGAATATTTTACATTCTGATACAATGAGAAACATTTTTACCGAAAATTCCAAAAAAAAAAAAACTTCTAAAAACAACTAGTTACAGAAATAAATTATTTTACACCATGGAAGATGTTTTGATATGTGGAAACTTTACAATGCATATGACAAAAGGGTACCGAAAAAAATAGCCAAATTCCTCTAAGGTCAACTTTGCCCGAGGGAGTTAGTTTCTTAACATTTTCTGATTTTTTTCTCTGAAGCGCTTTCCTAGATGTACATTCATCTTCAAAATGTGAATTCAAATTTTCAAACATGTCTAGCATTTACACTGCTGTCGATTTATTATTTCTTCAGAAAAATATAATAACGATATTATATATTTTGGTAATGAATAATTCAGGAACACGTCGTCGTTTGTAGTTCTTTTTCCATAAGTCGTGCTAAAAGACGTGCATCCTCACCTGAAAATACAAAGTACCCATACGATGCCAAATCTTCCAAATTATCCCAGTCCGGATCTGAACCAAGTCCTACAGTTATCAAATTTGTTTTAGAAGTATTAACGACGTTCTGTAATTTTTTAATCAAACGCGAATCGAAAGATTTTCCATTTGTAATAAAGATCACAAAACTATTTGACGAAGAAAGTGTTCCAATATTTTGTACGTGTTTGATCAGTGAAGACTGGTTGACGTCTATACCGCTATATTCTACAACGGCCACAGAACCAAGTTTGTATTTCATTCCAGATATATCATAGAGTGGAATAGCTTCTATTATTTTATTTCCGAATACATCTACTGATAATTTTACGTTCTGTAAATGAAATGATAAAAGTGCCTCTATGAATGTGTATATAAACTGTTTCCCTTCTTTAAGCTCCGTCCTAGTAATATACATTGAATCTTCAAGAAGTACATGCATTTTTCCTTCTACTTCAGATGTACAGGCTGAAATATAAAAAGGGTAATCGTATAAATCTATGGAGCCAATATATACTGGTGTAAATTTCATTTAAATTCTTTGCTCTGCTTTAAACATGTTAAAGTAAAAATAAAAGTTTCCAATCTCGATCTGTTAGACTAGAAAATCGCACAAGGATGCAGTAAATAACAAACAAATCAACTTTCAATTGGAAACACTATTTTATTTCAATTGATTTATTTTATTTAATTTCTTTCTATTTCAAAGTGAAATTCTTGTAACTGTATGCAGCCTAAGTTTAATTTCGTCCAAAAACGCCTCAGTTATTCTTTATTTGGCTTGTTTTAATATTGTTTTCATGATGCATAGCAACACGGTTTAATGCAACAACATTTTCCGCATTGTATTTTTATCCTGCTTGTGTTAAATGGCATATACTTAAAATAAATTTAAATGAAAGATGAAATTAAAACAGATGACGAGCAAATCTGCAAACCTACCACTTCGTTTAAGTAAATTAAAAATAAGAGGCTCCATCGGCCACCTTGTAAAAATATGCCATTTTGATTTCATTTTTACCTTAAATGCAATTAGTTAGTAATGCCTATTTGTAAATCGTATTAAGTGATATTTTTGTAGATCTTGTATTGTTGAACATTCTAATGTTAACAGTTTATACCTATCTAATTAAAGTTTTCGAGGTAATTTGAATAATTATAAAACTTATCAAAATCGTCGTTTGAGGTCAACAAATCCTATCAGGAGTCGTTCAAGTTGGCCGTGTTGATTTACTTGTAGTTCTTATTTTGCAGATAACTTTTTTTCTTTTGAAAAAAGCAAAAATGGATAAAAATCATCATTCAGAGGAAATAGCTCCTATAAGAAGTCGGCTGATAATTTTGCCGTTTGACTTATTTGTAAATCTTATTGCGCTGAATATTATTGCTTTTCACAATTTATCTCTATCTTTTATAGTAACTGCAAACTATAGGAATTGTTGTCTTTCAAGGGCAATAGTCCTATAGAAGGTCAATTGACGATTTAAACCAAAACCTGCTAATCATTTTACTCTTACTGCCTTTGTCTTTGAGATATAAGCTAAAAACTGCATTTTGCCCCTATGTTCTATTTTAAGCTACAGCGACCATGTTTGTTGTTGGATCAAATCCAAGGATAAAGGTTTTAGACTATGTTCCCTAAAAAAATTCAGGTAAAGTTTGGTTAGATTTACCCAGGTAGTTGCAGAGGAGAAAATTTGTTTACGACGATGATTGAATTGACGACGACGACGGACACCAAATGATTGTAAAGGTTTACATGGTCTTTACGGTCAGGTGACCTAAATATGAATATTACCGGAAACACATGTACATGCACTTTCACCAAAGGCCATCTGTTGTTTGTCATTCTTCGACTTATAAGTTTTAATTATCCCCTGGGTGTCCTCTCCGCCTTGTTTATACCTTGCTCATTCTATATCTAATATATTAATGTTTGATAAGAATTCTTAGGTTTGATTGTCTGGAAACAACCGAAAGGCATTCCAAAATAAGATTTTATTTCCCAATAAAAGACAATATTCATGAAAGCACATGCTTCTCGTGACAACATCAAAACAATGTATAGGAAAACAAACGATAAATTTGATATAACATGGTTGTAGCATAAAATGTAATTATAAGAATTCACACGCTTCGACTTGAAAACAAATTCGCAAAGTCATGACGGCTTACATTAGAATATCGACACTATTAAAGCTTAAATGAAAAATAAATATAGAAATTCTGCTTTAAAAATAGAAAATGTTTAATAAATAATGTTCTTATAAGATTGGTCAAACATATTTTAAATTTCACATACAAAGACATCCTGGCTGAGCTAGCGAAGACTGTAGATATTTCCAAATCATATCTGCTGATGGATACAGTACTCTGGTGAAATCTGTTGATATTCTTTCTAGTAGACCGTGTTTGACAGAAGCACCGATTCCAACTGAAACAACTTCCATATTTGAAAGACTTTTCAACTCATCTGCTGCAGTTTCGAGTTTATTACTTTGTACCATTAATCCATCGGTGAATATAACCGTAAAATGTTTTGCGTATGATCTTGAACCCTTCAAGTATGAGAATAATTGTCTGCTAATACAGACATGGATCAATATTCAAACATACAATTATTCTAAAATTCTAAATAAACCTATAGTAAATGAAAATTTTAAATTAAACAATAGATCAAATCAAAGATTTTACAAATGTATACACCTATACAGTGAAACCTGTAGTAAAAAGTAAAAAAAAAATAACAAAAGGTACCAGTTTTGTATTACAACTCTTTTTTTCTGTTTGATTAAAAGTTTATGCTGAATTGAAACATATATTTAGATTTAAAAAAGTTTTCAAATCTTTTTAGGGATATCAAACCTGGAAAGTGGAAGGATATCATGTTTACTGGAAGTGGTGCGGCCAAGTAAAAACAGCAAACAGAAAGTAGAAAAAATTAGATTTGACTTCAGGGTTACATAACGTTTTATTCTTTGTGGCATGAGGCACTTTTTTCGATTAAATCACAATTTCACATTACTACATACATGATATGCACATGAACAAAACATTTTCAAAGATCAGCTGTTTTGCCTGTAGGCCTATGGAGCAGTCAATTACAAAACTGCAACCAAAAATACCGAACTCCGAGGAAAATTCAATACGAAAAGTCCTTTATCAAATGGCAAAATCAAAAGCTCAAACACATCAAACGAATGGAAAACAACTGTCATATTCCTGACTTGGTACATCCATTTCCTTAGCTAAACCTCTCACTTGTATGATAGTCATATAGAACTTCATTATATTGACAACAATGTGTGAGCAAAACAAACAGACATAATAGGTAAAAATGTTAAAAATTGGGGTACAGCAGTCAGCATTGTGTTATAATCTTAATCACTATAAAACAAATAACTATTTCAACAAAGGAAAACAAAATGGCATATAGACACTCTATAGACAAAGTACATAAGCAAAAATGAAAGACAAGAATAAAAAATGACCATAGCACAATAACACAATGGCGGGATGTATAAATACCTAGCCACGCCAAAAGTATATTACCAAAAATTGACTAAAAAGTAAAAGGTAAAATTATTAGACGAGTGACATTAACCATAAAATTTTATTTTTAATGCACCCACCTAACATACGGCTAAATCATTAACCATTCGAAAGCACATTATCCGCACTACCTTTTTTGCCCGGTCGTCAAAAATTCGTATGGTGCAGTTTCTGTCAAATCACAGCGAAAGGTCAAGGACGGACAACTTCTAATTTTACAAGAAGTCAGCATTGTTTGCATATTCTGTCTTCTGAATAATGATATTTTGTATGGACATATGGAAATCTGTTAGAACAGATGTTAATAGTAACTTATCAAAAGCACTTTGAAATATTAATGTCGGATTTTTAGTAAATAGCGCTGTTTTCCAGAAATTCCATTGAAAATGACAAAAATGCATGAAAATCAAATTTTTTGTCTGTGATTCAACTGTTATTCACCATAAAACCAAATAACATATTTTATTTAGTGCTAAGGATGTTTTTGACATCATTAAATTACTGCAATTACGCATCTTGTTAATTAAACAGCCAATTATAAACAACCATGCAGTTGCCCGAAATACCGCCATCTTCAAGAAAATAGCTTTTTAAGCTGTTCTTTGTTAAAACAATTTGTATGTAGTCGATGAAAAACTGCAAAAATGTTAAAGGATAGAATACACAGAAAATTCGTCGTTTAGGGAAAAGTTTGGAAGCGAAACTTTGATAATTCAATATTTTAAATATTTGTATGTTTTCTTGGTTGCTTATACTGCATCTTGCATTGAATGAGGAAGTGAAAACTATTATAAGCTAGCCACAGAAATGTTCTTCATGCCTGGCCAATATGTTTAATCCTATCCAACTACGTAAGTTATTGTAAATAAATTGAGACCCTCGCAATTATATTTACTTACATTAATTTTTGAATTGGGAAATCTAGCAATTCGCAATAACAATACATACGTTTCCATTAATCAAATTTACTCCCTGAATAGTTTACATATAAACACATTTTAATATAAAGATGATTGATTGATTGTTGGTGTTTGACGCAATTTTCGGTTTTGCACTTTTGGCTTCTAAAGTATTTTGCGGCGATCAGTTTTAAATGGTTTAGGCCCATGGAATACCCAAGGAACCACCGACCTTCGGAAGGAAAACTGGCAATCCCCATCAACAATACATTAGTTAAAGCTATTAGTATCAAGGACGAAGTTACTGTGTAGGTGTCACAACACAAATATACAAATCAGCATTGATCACCTTTTGTAAAAGTAGGCAACCTCTTACCAAACACAGCAGTGTTAATTTTGATGTTTACTTCAGCTAAATGTTACAAGTAAAGTTTCTTAATAGATACAAAAATATAAATGCATTTGAACCACTTTTATTTCAAATTTAATTGGCCATGATTTTGCATTAAAATTTCAATGTAGATTTGCCACATAATATTTTCATTTTAGGCATTTAAAAAGAAGAGCACGATCTACTATTTTAGTAGATCATCTATTTAGCATTGGTTGATCATTGGAATATTAAAGATAGTAAATGTATATTAAGAATACATATGGTTAAAATGAAGTTATTTTATTCTAAAATATCTATACAATTGTGAGAAATAAAAAAATTGTGGTTGAATCTATCCAGTTTTTTTAATTGGTTTTATGTCATCTGATCTTAAATTATGTTTGTGGATATTTATTGTGCACTGAGCCCTCTGTTTTTGATCTGACAGCGACTTTTTGCGATTTTCTCACTTTATTTTCATATTTTTTGGTTCAAGTTTCTAATGGTGCGAAGATCTCACAACAATAATAAGTGATATAAGTTGACATGAAAAAAACGTACAAAATGTTATATATAAGTGTTAAAAACATGGGTTAAAACAATCTGACTAAAATTAAGATCAATCACGACTCGCCTGCTCATATATTGCATGAGAATAACGAAATCAGAGAACTACATTTTAATAAGATTAGGGTTAACTTAATGAGATAGCTTGAAAGCAGGTATGTTCTGGTAAATTTAAAGCGATTACTGTTTTTAGTGCTATTTGAATATGTCTATTATGAAACAAATCCCTTCACGTATAACCTCTATATGTGCACTTTGAACTTCCATAATTCTGCCAAGCAATGTCGAAGGAATATTGCTCATTACAATTTTGAGACTAACATATGGATATGTGAATGGAAAGAACAAAAGAAAAAAGGACGTAAGGACAAGATGATTCCTACATTTCCGCTATATCATATAAAGGTAAATAGAGATGGAGAGAGAACTACGAGGTCTATCACAACTGTTTTCCAATCGTTTGATGTGTTTCAGCTTTTGGCTTTGATATGTGATAAGAGAATTTCTGTTTTGAAATTTCACTTGAAGTTCGGTAATATATGTTGTTTTACTAACTTATTTTTTGCATCACTATCTGAGTTTTAAGTTCTGTTGTCTTTTTTGCTCAGCTTGGAAATTTATGCTTTTCTTTTCTTTGATTGAAAGAAGGGATAACATAATATGGAGGCAGTCTCAAACCATGGTCGACGAAAAACAGATGACAGCATGACCATGGCGAAAAATTAGGACAGACAAACAAATCTTCTTAAAACACTATACCGAATTGTGTGAACAATACATAAACCAGTATGGTGATTACAGTTGTTCATGAAGGTTATTCAATCTTTATTAATCTGAATTATTAATTTTCAGTCATATTTAATAAAACAACTAACAAAGTATATCATAATGGGTAAACATTAAAAAAGGAAGTCGCCCAATTTGACATTGAAAAGCGCATGGTACAGACAGTTTTCTTTCGAACATTGAAAGAGCATAATCTTCGTAACATGTCTTTCCACATCGGGAAACTAATTTTTACCAAATATACTTCTTTTGTTCTTTAAAATTCTTCCATAACCTTTTTTTAAATATGGTTGATCATTATCTGCCGATATTAGCAATATTATCTAGCAAACAAAAAGCTAAATGATCCCCATTTGCAGATGGTGTCTCTTAGGGCAACTACAAAAGCTTCATTAGAAGGCTCCATCTGGACCTTCATCATATTAATTGCAGTTTAAAATGATGAAAAAATTCCCTCGGTCCATAAACAATAAATCTATTCTATTTTTGACATACAAATATTCAAATTTCAGAAAACATTTATATTTTATTGCAATTTTTATCATTTTTGGAACTTTTTTCAAGATATGCAATTTTTTGTGAATATAGCGCAATCAACATTTAAGTTTGCACTTGATTTGAAATCATGGTAATTTGTTTTATAAGGTTTAGATCAATTTTAGGGAATAAAATGCCATACAAGTACCTGAAAATGGCATTTTGTGTAATTATAGCAAACATTTGGAATGCTCAGTTTAGACCTTTGACCTTGATTTAACGAAAATTGCACCGTACGAATTATTGACGACCGGGCAAAAATGAAAGTACGGGTAATAAGCTTTCGAATGATATATAATATAGCCGTATGTTAGGTGGGTGCATTAAAGTCGTTAACTAAGCGTCTTTTTGAAAATTGTCACTCGCATATATATAAAGACAAATAAAAAGAACACTATAAAACGTAATTAAAATGATAAACCACGTCAGTACCTATAATATATACTTCAAAAGCATCATGTATTATTTGTGAAGCGTTATAATAAGTCCTTGATGTTGCATCTCTGTAAATATAGACAATGCAAATTCCCATAGGAACTCCCTTTGCGGCTAAAACTGTGCCACTTTTACAATGAAGCTTCGTAAAAAATTATATCCTAGAATGGAAAGTTGATATGCACTTCTATTTAATTCAAAGGTAAAAAAAACAGGGCTGTGCGGCATATTTTCAACATGTATATGCCCCGAACTTGTTAGAGTTTAAACTTATACTAAAATTCTGTAATACCCCTACCTTCACTTTGTGCCTACTTCAGAATTCAATTTTCACCGCAACAATATGTTTTTATACTGGTAACATTCCCAAGTTATGTCTCTATGAGATGAATCATAGAGATCATATCTGGGAACCAGTACGTAAACAAAACAAAATATCTATGAATATTATATATCTCCCCAAAAGAGGCGTGGTTTGAGAAACAGCTGTATTTACAAAGTGCAACCTTGACGGCGTTGTTATGGGAAAAGTTACCAGAAGTTTTAACAGGAAGACCATTACGTATCAGCAATTAAAAAAAATATCCAATTTCAAACTTATCATTTCTTCCTTTCAACTTAAAATCACTCACTGTCAAGTTGACGTTTCGGTAACTCTCAGTTTCAAGTTCATATTTTTCAATTCTAAGTTAATATTTCACATTTTCAAATAAGAACTTATAAGTGTCAACGTGGAGCTGAGACATGTCAACTAGATGAAGAGAAATGTAAACTTGGAACTGAAAAATGTCAAGTTAAAACTGAGAAATGTCATCTTGGAAGTAAGAAATGTCAACTTGGAAGCGAGAAATGGGAACTTGGAAGTGCGAAAATGATAAGTTTGAAGTGAGAAATTATTTATAGTAAGAAGTTAGAAACGAGAATTTCAAAAGATTGAATGTCCCTACCAGTCTTTTGTTCGTTACAGTTTGGATTTAAATAATCTTAAAAATTGTCTTTCCTTAGAAAGTCTTTGAAAAAGATCAAGAAATGCAACTTTTGCATAAACGATTGTATTAAGTTTTGGATTTCAAATTTTTTTAATTGGCATCGAACATCACTGAAAGGACATTATTTGTCAAAATGTCCATTTGATGGTATTTGATTTATTTTTCGACGTTTATTTTTCTATTCCCAAAGAAATTTTTTTAATATCCTCGATAGGTTTCTCTCGAATTCAACATTTAGTTACATACGGGAAAGAAAATATAAGTTTTTTACAAAAGTATATACATACTTAACATCCACCAAGGCATCCTCTAGACTAGAAGCTCCTCTCATGTTGGTGATGTTAGCAACATGAGCCAATAGGACATCTTTATCTGCATTGTCATCAAAGTAAAAGTCCATCTTCGATTTCGATGAAAATGACGTCATTCCAATTTGACATTCAATTTCATTAATAGGTACATATGATATAACAGCTGTCAAGAAATTTCTCAAGAAAGACACATCAATACTGTGAGATACATCCAAAACAAATGCTATATCAGCAGCCTTAAGATAACATTGACCGGGATCTGAAAGATTAACACCAATTAATTTTTATGTCAACTCGGTCAAAATGAATGCGTTTAATCTTGATCATCTTCACCAGTAAAAGATTTTTGCGATGTACATGCACAATATATTACAATACATTGAGGACGTTTTGATTAGTAATCTTTATACCTCAAAATCATTGTATTCATAAAAAATATGTTCTACTGATTATTTTTAAAGGGGGAATGAAAAGAATTAACTATACGTTGTCTCAGAATATGACTCTGTACTATAAAGCACAAATCAGGACAAAAATGGACTGCAAGACTTGCGGTTATTGCTGTTTGTAATAGCTCAATTATTTTAAATAATTCTTATGTGATTTACATATCTATAAATACTTGAATGTGATTGGTTCGTTTTCCATTCGATAGACTATGTTACCGAAACTTCTTTTGTAACATACGTAAACACTTTGTCGATTTCACCGTGATATATTCATACGCGATTAACATTAATGGAATCCTTCGGTTCCAAGAAAGTCGAAATTAAAGATTAAAAATTAAAAATGTTTGGGTTACGAATTATAAGAATTTAACACATTTTTCTGAAAGGTTATTGATTTGTAAACTGGGCAGTATTTTCGGACTTTTTTTTCGAGAAGCAAGGTACAGGAGGAACTTATCTCCTTCACATAGAATACCCGTATGTTCACAAACACGGGAAAGAAGAATTGGTGGTGCCGGTTTCTATAAAACCAACAAATAATTAAGATTTTTTTTTAAATGCAACTTTAATGCAAAGAATGTTAACAAATCCAATGGACAGACGGTAGTAACAATTTTGGCGCATATTTGTCTTTTTTATTGAGGGTGGAAACCCCAAAGTGGGGTTAAACTTTGACGAGTGTCAAACAGGGTTATTAATTCAAGTTAATTCTCCCAGATTTAACACGGCGCTTATTTCATGGTGTGCATATAATAAACCATGCTATACATGTACCTCCTGTTGGTGGTGCAGGCTTGATATCTCTCAAGTCAACTCTAAAGACAAACTTTCCTGGATAACCAACATTTGACATATCTGGCAGGTTTATAATATCTGCTCTTCTTGAACCTTTTACGGAGTAGAAATGAATGTCATCTCCCATATTAAATCCAACCTTGAAAACAATGTACTATGATTATTAACCCAGTGGCGAACTCGATGTATACAAAGGTCAATAGCATGCCACATTTCAATTTCAGTATGTCATGCGAGAGATAAAAAAATTCCTATTGAAATGAGGTCTAATTAAAACATTATGACTGCGATTTGTCTTATAATGAAGACATAAATCAATTTAGACTAGATTTGACATTTATCCATCGGTAAAAGTTCAAGGTAACAGTTACTTTGTATACACTATTATGAAACGAAAATTTTAAACATTCCAAGATCTATATTTTCAATACATCTTAACCTCATCTCATGCTTACATGGGTTACCTTCATCATTCTAATATACCCATTCCAATCTTATTACTGAGTAACTGCATGAAATAGGGTGCTTTTAATAGTTCACACGGTCGTAAACCATAATAGTGCATTTTTTCAACAGCGAACAGATTCATATCTACTAAAAAAAAATCGTACGGATAACTGTTATTATTATACTTTACTATAGTAACCGCTAAATGAAATAAAAAAAAAATAAAATAAAAAAAAATATTGCAGCATGTTTTTCTCTTCGTCATAAATTTTTTTTTACCAATTTACCGCGCCAAACTGCGCGAAGGCAAAATAACTGTTTGGGTATTTTTGCAAGTAGTAAAAACAACCCTTGTAAATTTCGCTTATGCATGTCGAAGAAATAATTAGTAGTTTTCTCCATTTGTTTTCGTCTGGTGAAAATGGCGGCGACCGCAAGATTCGGTTGCATTAAGGATTTAGACCTCGACGAAAAGACTCTAACCCATATTTGGTTCACTATAACTCGGACCTCGAGAAAATAATTGTCAAATGAACATTTTTTTGGTATATTAACTTTTCATACAGGCAATAATTATGAATTGCGTTGTACAAGAACATTGTTATATTCATTGTTTATATTAATACGCATCCAAAAGAAAATAACATTAAACAGAGGTTGCACATGTATATGAAACAGGAAAACTTAACCATCATTAAGACTAATTGAATACTTGTTAATGTGTGAAAGAGACGAAAGATACCTATGGGACACTCAAAGTTAAAAGTCGAGATAAACCACCATGATAAAAAACAAGAGGCTTTCAAGAGCCTGAATCGCTCACCTGTAATTTTTGGGCTTAAATCTTTCATCAATGATTATTTTTTCTTTTCAATATATATTAATGAGTGGCTTAAAAATGCCATTTAAATGTTCTTTGTATCTGTCATATTTTCTTCAAAAGCAAAAAATTGCATTTTACCCCTATGTTCCATTTTAGCCATAGTGGCTATGTTTCTTGACGTACAAGGAAATAAAACACAAAATTTATACTAGATACACTGAAACTCATTCAGACCAAGTTTGGCTGAAATTAATTCAGCAGTTTCAAAGGAGAAGATTTTTTTAAAGTAAACAAACTAGATGAAGAAATTGTGAAAACTTGTCTTTAAAGGGCAATAACTCCCTAAGGGGTCAATTGACAATTTTGGTCATATAAAAACTTATTTGTAGATCTTACTTTGCTGAACATTTTTGCTGTTTACAGTTTATCTTTATCTATAATAATATTCAATATAATAACCGAAAACTGCAAAATTTCCTTAAAATCATCAAATCAGGGGCAATAATCTAAAAAAAAAATGAGATACCCGATTTGGCTGATAATTTCAGGGCAGGTGGACCTTGACCTAATGAATACTTTACCTTCTTGTCTGATTTGCTCTAAATGCTTTAGTTTTTGAGATATAAGTCAAAAACTGCATTTTATCATATGTTCTATTTTTAGCCATGGCGGCCATGTTTTTCTGAGGAAACAGAAAATAAAACATAAATTTTATTCTAGATAACCTAAGAATCATTCACCTTAAGTTTGGTTTAGTTTTGGTTCAGTAGTTTCAGAAGAGAAGATTATTTAAAGTTAGAAAACATGATAAACAAATTGTGTAAAATTGTCCTTAAAGGGCAATAACTCCTTAAGGGGTCAATTGACAATTTTGATCATATAAAACTTATTTGTAGATTTTACTTTGCTGAACATTTTTGCTGTTTACAGTTTATCTTTATCTATAATAATATGCAAGATAATAACCAAAAATTGCCAAATTTCCTTAAAATTGCCAATTTAGTGGCAGCAACCCAACAATGAAATGTTAAATTCATCTGAAAATATCAGGGCTGATAGAACTTGACCTAATGAACATTTTTAACCCATGTCAGATTTGCTCTAAATGCTTTAGTTTTTGACATATAAGCCAAAAACTGCATTTTACCCAAATGTTCTATTTTTAGCCATGGCGGCCATGTTTTTTTAACGAAACAGAAAATAAAACACAAACTTTATTTTAAATACCCTAAGGATCATTCAGCTTAAGTTTGGTTGGAATTGGTTCAGTAGTTTCAGAGGAGAAGATGTTTGAAATAGTTTACACCTGACGGACGACGACGACGGACGACGAGGAACGCCAAGTGATGGCAAAAGCTCACATCTCCTTTGTAAAGGTGAGCTAAAAAGGAAAAAAGACGAATAGACAAACAATTTCGCAAAACTCTTCGTATAATTTATGAAACGTTATTACATAAAAACTTTGTACCTGGGCAGGCGTGCCTCCAATACCAGTATTAGCATCTCCATTACTTGCCGTTCCTGTTGTTCATTCTATTTTATTGTAGTTGTAAATCACAAATGTACTTTCAGTGTCTGTTATCAGAATACACTGAAACGTATTTCTCTAAAATATAATAAAGAAGTATTATGATATAGATTGGTTTAATATTTACACTATGTAGTTAACCTTAAATAAAACGAACAGGAATGGTATTAAGTGCCAATCTGCCTAAGAATCAGGCAGTGGTGAAAACATGACAAACAAAAACCCACTCAAGTTTACATTAATTTATGTTCAAAATGTATACTGGTGCACGAATTTAAATTTCGTTTCCTTTTCCTGTTCTGGTAATTCAAGATATAATTTGGTTGACATGCATTAGATATAAACAGTTAAGGGGAGCTAGCTCCATTATTTGCTATCATTCTAATCAAAATTTATCTAGAGATTTCTCGAAGTATCAGACACACAGAAACAAAAGACCTACCATTTCTAACTCAGGATGAGAGTAACTTTAAAATAGGATGTTTAGGTTGGTGGGTTTTTTTTGCCATGTTTTGAATTTTTTCAAAATTGCCCGATTCTTACAAAGACTGGCACTTAACACAAGAGCCTTTTTTCCCAGAGAAAATGTTGCATTTGGTGATACAAACGTTCTACAAAAAAAAAACCAAACCTTATTTATGCCGACGTCTGATGCTCCAAAGAAAGGAACGTTTTCCCAAGTAACAATGTACGTCCAATTTGCTCCAAAATGTTTCATTATTGGAAAATACTTCCGTACTTCAGATGTTGCTTTAACTATATCAGGATATTTTGTAGATTCCCTGTACCAAATACTGCATGTCGAACTACAATTTCTTGTATCTATATCTGTCCAAAAAGGTGCAAGTACAATTAGATCGCCAATTTTAGGAAATGCCTCTTATGTGAACGTTGAAATTCCTTTTCGAAACGATATAAACCCATTTGTATTTACCTAATAAAAAAAAATAGTATAACTAATGTAACAGATAAATTTCATGTTTTATCAAATGCACATATAGTAAAAACAGCGGATATCGAAATAACATAATTTTAGACTTATTTAGAAAGGCATATTTGAAATGGGCAATTAAGTGCTTGTATTGGTACTATTTAAATCTGAATCTGATCTTATAGTTATTTGTTAAATGAACATATTGGGCTAATATTGAAAACTTATAATGAAAAATAAACAAATTTAACTATCCTATTGTTAATTTCCTTTCTTTAATATCTCAAATTTGAATGAACGTTATATTTTCATTGATAAAACACTTTCACATCAGGATGAAAGTATATTGATCAAAATTTTTAATTAAATGTAGCCTCAATATGTACATTTTTTGTGACTGCAGAAATATGATAGAGGTAGTTGTATTTCTAACCCATCTTCATACTAACATATTATTTATAAAGATAACAGGTTTAGGATGTATCCTTCAAATATTTCTTTTTGACTTTAAAGACCCATAAAGAACGCGTATAAATACATCGTTGTTGTTCTATCAGTGCGTTTCGTATTTTTCAGGATGAACATCAATTCGCCTTTGTATAGTTTAAGCATCCACCAATATCAGATGTGAGGACGGCTACTTTGAGCTTGTTCTCAGTGACTGAAAGTATTTTTATTACACTGAATGGTTTATTATTGTTTTGTTTGTACTTGTACTTACTTAAAATTGAGAATGGAAATGGGGAATATGTTAAAGAGACAACAACCCGCCCAAATAGCAGATAACAGACGAAGGCCACCAATGGGTATTGAACGCAGCGAAAAAATCCCTCACCCATAGATGGTCCTCAACTGGCCCCTAAATAAAAATGTGTACTAGTTCAGTGAAATGGACGTCATACTAAACTCAAAAACATATAAATGGACTAAAATTAAAAAACATACAAGGCTAACAAAGGCCAGAGGCTCCTGACTTGGGACAGGCGCAAAAATGCGGCGGGGTTAAACATATTTTGTGAGATCTCAACCCTCCCCTATACCTCTAGCCAATGTAGAATAAAGAAACACACAGCGATACGCACAGTAAAACTCAGTTACATAGAAGTACGAGTCTGATGTCAGAATAGGTAACAAAAGAAACTAAGCAAAATGACAATGATACATAAATTAACAAAGGACTACTAGCAGTTACTGACAATCATGCCAGCTCCAGACCTTAATTAAACTGATTGAAAGATTATGTCTTCATCATATGAAAATCAAGTACAATCCCTCCCGTTAGGTGTTTAGTATCATACTATCATAAAATATATAAAGAACATAACCTGTATCATGCCAACACCTGGTTTTAGAATAAATGTGTTTATTTCCGATGCAAAGACCCTTTTAGTGAATCAATATTAATACCAAAATATGCAATCTTTAATGACTTGACAACAGTATCGTAACTATATCCCTTCCGAATAAGTCTGTTTAAAGGTTTGGTTGGCTTTTGAGATGAATGCCGACATTTTTGTGCTTTGTAAAGAATATTACCATAAAGGATTGGATGTGAAATACCTGAACGTATAAGATGTCTGCATGTTAATTTATATTTACGAATGATGTCCTTGTACTGATGATAAAAGTTAGTAAATGTTTTGACTAGTTTGTGATATCGAAAACCCTGGTGTAATAATTTTTCAGTAATACAGAGATTTCTTTCGTTAAAATCAAATACGTTGTTGCATACACGAGCGAATCGAACAAGTTGTGATATATAAACATCATAAGATGGTGACAAGGGAACGTCACCATCTAAAAATGGATAATTAACAAAAGGAAATGAAAAATCATCTCTTTTGTATGTTTTTTTTTTTAATTTTTATACAGTTATTGTAGAGTTCACAGATATTCCTGTAAGGAATTTTATTGTACGTTTTTTTTTTATATCTTCATTGTTAGTCAACTGATACAAGTTATTATAAACACTTTAACTTACATACAATTCGCTGTGATATTCGTAAAAGAATTTAAACACAATCGAAATGTTTTGTACAGCTGAATGTTGATCATCATTATGATTCAGCAAGGCATCTCCTTCCGAATGTCCAAAAGAGAAGAAGTTCAGATTCAGGAACAAAACATAGCAGTTTGATCGGTAACAGGAAAAAAATCACTAGTGGAAGCATCATTTTCTGTTTTAAAAGTAAGATTAAATAAATAACAGTATTATATATAAAACGTCTAGTTTATAGTCAACGATCTTTCTTACGAGGGTGTCGGAAAATCAACGATACTGTATACAATAAATAAATTAGATATAAAACGTATCCACACCAAAATTACAAATGGTAAAAACATATAAAAATATAATATAAATATTTCGGATGATATCTTTGCTGATTTTCCTTTAAAGAAATCATGAACGTCATACATTTTTTTTAAAAGTCATCAGAATTACCAGGCTATTAGTTAAAAATCGATCAACGCTTATATACATAATTCTAAAGTTTCAAAGTTTACGAAAATTTAGTATTTATAATAGACGAGGCTGCGTATGTATGCATCCCAAATGAAGCAACACATACAGCTGCTGTGGTTAGCTTTGCACGATTTGAATAACACCATTTCATTCATCCAATTTGGTTCAAACATTTTTAATTTCTTATCCAAAATCTCCCGATTCTCTCTTCCTTAGACCAAGCAGTGTTGTAGGCAATAGTCGGTCGATTGTAATTTGCCTAAGTGGGAACAGGGATCTAAAAGGTCGACTGAGAAGAAGGTCTGACTAACATTAATAGTCAGCACAACTGCCGTTCATATGTTTGTAAAATAGCTGTTCGGACTCACAAACATACTGATTAAAACATTAACACTGTTACAAAAACACCGTGTGTGTATAGTCTTGCAAGTAACATTGCAAAATATGGTGTATTTCGTACCAGTGGATTGACTGTTGAAAGACTGGGGAGGCAGCATTTACTTGCAAGTCGGACATCGTTTGTTCCTACAACCGTTACAAGAGCCTGCTGACAAACAACCTGTCATTGATAAATCAGCCCTCCCCAACAAGTCTTTGAGGCTTTTGGGCCAACGGAAAGCCAGTACATGTGACTGGGGGAAGATCTTGGAAGTTAAGGATGTTTTGTGATTTCTTTCTAACTTTTGTGGATAAGGTGTGACCATTTTGTCAAATTTAGGATGGTAAGTCAGCATAAACGGGACTCTTTTTCTCTTAATATTGTTAATGTTCATCTCGGCTAATATTGATAGCACGGGAGACACTTCTATCAATGTCTTTTCTTCTGTATCCCTGATTTTTACGTTCTTGTAATCGTTTTTGCACATCATTGGTGGAGCAAATTCGCTTAATCTGATGACCTGGCTGTAGTGAATACTCTTTGTGCAGTGTTTTTGAGTGACAACTCGGGGGAGAAAGACATTGATGTTTGTATGGTAGCTTGCAATACAGATCTGTTACTAATCATATGATTCCTTCTTTCACTAGTGTAGCAGGGTCAAGGAATATTGATCTTAGAGGCAGAGATTTCATAAGTCAATTTTATTGAGGGATAGCCGTTGTTGGCATGTTAAGTTCTTGTTCGGTTTTACCCCACTGCATTTCAATGTCCTTAAAGAATCGTTATATTAAAAGAGAACGGTTGTAAAAGAAAAGTATTGCAAATTTGCTTTTCTAATTTGCCCATTAAAATATTGCAATATGATGGGACCATCGCGGTTTCAATTTTCTGTTCCATTGACCTAAAGACTGTGCTAACTATTGAATGTGAACTTATTGCATTTCAATACCAAAGTTAGAAATTTTACTGTTTTGACTGGAAACTTCATCTTTGAAATATAATGCGACCCGTTTTGTACATCTTTAAGTATATTTATGCCCCTTTGGTATCTTTCGCCTCTCTTTAAGAAGCTGGAAATATTGAGTTGGTGGGTAAAAGGTGTTGCGAGAGTTCCAGACTTCCTTATAGGTAGAGGTTACGACAAGCGAGACACGGGTCGTTGCAGGTGGGAAAGGATTCAAGGATAATCTAAAAATTTGGAGAAATAACACAAAACATCAGGGATTCAATTTTTACGGATGTGAAGTTAAGCATGGATGCAATTTAGGTTCTCCTCATAACAGAGCCTTTGGTCGCTTGTAGATACAGTATGGATTTGAAATTAACTTTTTGGAACTATACAGTAGATAAGTATACATCTACAAATCAAATATAGAATGGAAACTTTTGGCTGTTTCCTAAATGAACGTAGATGAAAAAAAACCTGTCAAAGTAGGTGCAATTGTGTATTACATACAGTATCAAAATGGCAGATCGTCACTTCGAGAAGATTGATGCACATTTTGCAATTACTGTGAAGTGAGAATCTGTTTTACTGTAAATTCAGAAATTATTGCGTGCATTTATTATTGCGATTTTTGAAGAATGGACTAAAATGCGAAATTAACTATTGCGATTTCAGGAAAATCTGCATACAGATATAAGTATCAGATATCAGAATGCGAGTTCTTATTATTGCGATCTTCATCCACTCGCATTATTCGCATTAATAAAAACCTCGCAATAATTTCTGAATTTACAGTAAATACACCAAGACTATGATTAATTGTTCATATGTGACACACTTAATCAATCAGTTTAGTTTCAAGGTGCTAAACTTTAGTTAAAAGTCGCAAGTGAGCGTCCGGTAAAAAGCGGCAAGGGAATAACTCGGGAGTGAAAATAAACGAATCATTTAACATTTGCGATTATCGGAACTTATTACAATGGGAAATTCATATAAATCACCATTATCTGTATAATAACACCTATTATTCTTTGTACAATCAATCATTTTCAATAAACATTGAGAGTTTATCTTTAATTAAAATAAAGTCATATTATTTAAGCATGAATTTGAACCCCTTCTGACACCCTTCCAAAATATTAAGGATCTGATTCGAAATAGTAAACATACTTAATGCAAGAAATGTAGTGAGGAAAGATGCTTTAAAGACCCACAAGAAGAAGGGAAATTATGTATTATATATACTAAATCAATCTAGAAATGATTGACTGATAAATGTTGGACGCATCAAAACAAAAAATCTTAAAGCAATCAAAACTTTTCTGACCGGAGGTTTTGCAAATTTGCTGCGATTTGATCTTCCAGTTCTTCTTGAAACAAATCAACAAGCTGCAATTTCAAAAACTTGTTACAAACCATCTTATTGATATTTTAGTCTTAGATACATGATTTGTTTTATTAGTTGTTATTGGCTTTGAACTAGCTGTCAATAACTGCTAGTACTTTCAGATCTGTACTTAGTGTCTTTTTTGTTGTTAGGGATGATGGATGGATATATACCCAGCCACGTCCTGTCTATGTTTTTGTTTGATGTTTTTCTTTGTATCGATCTGATGAGTTAAGCCTTTTTCAACTGATTTTTATAGTTTGTTCTTATGTTGTGCTGTTACACCACTTTCCCAGGTAAGGGGGAGGGTTGAACGCTAATAAATATGTTTAACCCCGCCATATTCTGTATGTGCCTGTCCCAAGTCAGAAGCCTGTAGTTCAGTTGTTGTCGTTGGTTCACGTCTGTCATATTTGTTTTTCGTAAATTGTTTTGTTATAAATTAGGCCGTTAGTTTTCTTAATTGAATTGTTTCATATCTTTCATGACGGGGCCTTTTATAGTCGACTATACGGTATGGGTTTTTCTCATTGTTGAAGGCCGTACGGTTGCCTATAATTGCTGACATTCACTTTATTTGAACTTTGGCAATCATACCACATCTCCTTATTTTTATATTTATATATATATATATATACATAAATGCCTAATGTTGATTGTTGCTATTTTTAGACACTATATATATATATATATATATATATATATATATATATATATATATATATATATATATATATATATATATATATAAGTGCCTATAATTAGCAGCACATGACATACAAATCTATGGGAGTGTGGATTAATCAGTACAGAGATTATTTCAATTACACAAATAAAATTAAAGATTGCCTAACAATGTAATTTTAACACACTATTTAATATGTAAATATAAGAATGTTTAAAATATTTACAAAATGATGAAAATAAACGCAACATTTCGCTACACTTATTGGCTTTATCACGCGTGCAACTATCCAGGTGAAATCTGATGTAGATGATAAGAAACTTTTGCAGCTCAATGTATGTGTTGCACTTGAATTTAGCTGCCTTGAAAATAATACATAATTTGGATGAAGTTCAAGATTTTTACAAAATTGGTAGTTGAAGTTAGCAACGTCCATTGGCCAATATTACAGGATAAAAAGTACGATGCTGTGTACTAAATTATTCTTTATCTTTCCTGTATCTTTTCTCATCTTTTTCGTTAAGACCATCAGGTTCTAAAGTGTGGAGTTGGTGGATCCAAAAATTTTCTCTTCTCCTTCTCGCCGTGGTGTCCCACTCGGTGTTGACTTCTATGGTTTGGAAAGTAACATTATCAAAAGAATGTTTCGTTGAACGAAGATGTCTTGTGAGAGGACAGTTTCTGTTGGTTTTGTACCATGAACGATGGTTATTGAGCCGAATATTAAAATCAAATAATAAGCTGTAATGAACATACCATTTGTAAAACAGGTAAACATGATGCATTCATACAGTATTGACATCTTTCAAATTACCTCAACAATATATTTGAAAATTATGTAAATATATCACAGCTTCTTAATGTTCCAATAAGTAATGATTTAAATCGTTTTTTAATAAACTTATACTTGAGGGTTAATTCTTTCAGTGATATTGGTAAGTTATTCCATAAGGAAGATCCTGAATATACATATAAGATTGTTTATACAACGTTAACTCTGTTTTGGCCTTTGGGACTTGCAATATTTTGTAAGACATATTCCTCAAACTGTATTGATTATTTTCTGGCATTACTTTTATTTTTTGGTTAGAAAAAAAATAGGGGTTCATACTTTAGACATTTAATAATAAATCAAAAGTTTGATGATATGGGATTCTGTTCTCTTCTGTCATTCTACCAAGCTGTTTAAACACTGATTGAAAGTGGATCTGCATCTAAAATTAGTCTTGCTGCCCTTTTCTGCAGTTTTATTATTCTAAATAGCTAATTTGTAGCACATGTTGTTTGTCAGATGTTTTAAGCATATCACTGAAATAAAACGGCCAAGTTTCCTTTGAAAAATATTACCGTTGTAGCTTGTTGACACGTGACACACTTATAGTTACAATAAATAGAATTGATGGCTTAAGTGTAGAATTTTATAGAACTTTTTGGGAACATCTTAAAGAGTTTGCAGTCAAAACTTTTAATTTCTCATTTGATAAAGGGGAGTTAACAAATTCACAAAAATTAGGAGTTATTTCCCTTTTACATAAAAAAAATGATCCTCTCAGTTTAGACAATTATAGACCAATAACATTATTGAATGTTGACACAAAATTAGTTGCTTATTCACTTGCTCAAAGAATCATCAAAATATTACCCCAAATTATTCATGGAGATCAAAATGGGTATGTTAAAAACAGATATATAGGATATAATATTAGACAAATTCAAGATGTCATAGATTATGCAGACAAATTTAATATAGAGGGCGCTTTATTATTCTTAGATTTTTCAAAGGCATTCGATTCATTAGAGTGGGATTTTATGTTCTTTGCTTTACAAAAATTTGGATTTAAAAATTCCATGATGAGATGGATAAAACTTTTATATTCTGACATAAAAAGTTCAGTTTTAAATAATGGGTGGATTTCAAAACCCATGAGTATATATCGTGGAATACGTCAAGGCTGTCCATGTAGTGCGATAATTTTTGTTATTGCTGTGGAGATTCTAGCTTGTAAAATTAGGCAAGACCATAACCTTAAAGGATTTGAAATCAAGATAGATGGAAAAACCCATACTTTAAAAATAAGTCAGCTAGCAGATGACACCACTCTTTTTCTCAAATCAAAACAAGATATTTCAAAAGCTCTTAACATGATTGAAACATTTGGTTCACTGTCAGGATTAAAACTTAACAGATCTAAAACGGAGGGTATTTGGCTAGGGAAACAAAAACATTGTAAAGAAAAATATGAAAATATTAACTTTACAGATAAACCAGTTAAAAGTCTGGGGATATATTTTGGGCATAACAAAGAAGAGTGTCTTAAACTAAATTTTGAAAAACAGCTAGAAAAGTCTGTAAAAATTATATCTAATTGGAAAAAAAGAAACTTAACCATGATAGGAAGAATAACAGTTATTAAATCTTTAGTTATTCCTATAATTACTTATTTGGCTACAGTCTCAACCTTGGGCAAAGAGTCTTTAGATAAAATTAAAAAAATTATATATGAATTTCTATGGAACAATAAGCCAGAAAAAGTTAAACGCACTGTATTAAGCTTCAACCAACTAGATGGCGGATTAAAAATGGTAAATATAGATAAATATATAGAATCTATTAAAATAGGTTGGATAAAAAGATTAACTGCTGATAAATTTCTTAATTGGATGGTTATACCAAAATTTTATCTAAATAAATTTGGTAGCAATCTACTTATCTTAAGAATGAATACTTATAATATACACTCGCTACCAGGTACTAAAGAGCTACCAGAATTTTATCTTGATATGATTAAAGTATGGTTAAAAAATAAAAATAATAAAACTAAACATCCAAATGATTACAGACTTATCCGCCAAGAAGTCATTTGGGGAAATCAATTGATCAAATTTCAAAAGAAAACACTGCTTTTCCAAAACTGGATAGATAGCAATATCATTCATATAAATGATATTATTGATGAAAACGGAGTCTTTTCAGAAAAAATTATAAGTTTAAAATTAAAGAATAAATCGAATTGGATAGCTGAATTCTCAAAATTAAGAAAAGCAATTCCAAAAGAATGGTTAAAAATATTAAATGAAGAAAGTTCAATAAAAACTAGTGTTTTAACAAATAACTCACTATATATATGTGAAAAAAATAATTGCAAACATAAACTAGAAAAATTAGATTCGAAGAAAATTTATACAATTTTAATAGAATATGATAAAGAAGTTCCAATAGGGTATCATAAGTGGAACAGAATATTAAAATGTGAAAATATACAAAGTGAAGCTCAATATATGCAAAAATTTATTCATAACTATTTAAAAGATAATAAATTAAAAATGTGCAGATGGAAACTATTACACTTTATTCTTCCAAACAAAGTGTTGTTAAAACAATGGAAAATAAGCCATAACTCTACCTGTAATTTTTGCAACCTTACAGAAGACTATGAACATTTTTTTGTAACGTGCCACTTTTTAGATGAGTTTTGGGGGGAAATATATAAGTTATTTGAAATAGCTAAGATTGGTAGACACATTTTCACTGAAAAAAATTTAATCTGGGGATATAAAATTAATGATGAACATTATTATGAAATAAACTTTTTACTTACAGTTATTGTGTTCACTATACACAAAATACACTATTTGTCAGAATATAGGACAAAAAAAATCAATCTATATAATGTTTTTAGGTCAGAATTTAAAAAAGGATTATTATTACAAAAAAAATATATTAATATTGAAGGAAAAGGGATACTAGAAAAGATACATTCTTATATTTGACAACATTGTTATATTATTGTCAATATTGTTATTATATATGTAATTTAACAGAACGGTTTGATAGATGATCATTTCATTTTACAATTTCAATGAGTTTTGAAAGTGAAAGTACCACTTATTTCTACCACAAATTGATATACTATAATTTTAGATTATACGGAAGATATATAAATTATGCTTACTATATGAGACCAATTTTTTTTTTGTGTACATACCTTCCGTGCCTAATACAATTATATTTGGGAGACACGTGGTGAAAGCAATTAATCCACACAAAAATACAACAACTGAAAAACCGTTATACCGGACAACAGAGAAATATATTAAACCACAAACCAAATTCCGAACACGCTAACATAACCCGTTATTCTGTTTTATTCTCAGCATCTATCAGATAGTAGCAATTGATTGTATATTAAAGAAAACTGTTTTTTTACTATATATATAAAGTTCATATTCAGAATTATAATAGTAAAATAATAGAGAAATAATGTATTAATGATAAACAATGTATTAAAGACATATAATATACATACTAACAAAATTATAAATATATACCTGAAGATACCCTGGTCTTAAGGTACTAATATACAGGGATCTCCACTGAAATAGCTGTACCAGTGAAGAAATCTGTTAACAGCATGTGCAATATTGTTGTTGAATAAAAAAAAAAAAAGTAAATAGAACCAGACAGATGGCATTCTTTGCAAATACTGTCTTTCAACATTAATATTCTTTGGTTGTTGCATCAAGCCAAGGTTTAACGTACAGTGGTAGAGTATTTTCAAAATTCATATACTTATCAGCATAATAAATTGTATTGTTTTTATCAGTTTTCATGAATGAATACAACTATACCTGAGCAAGTAGTCTTTTTTCTGGGTAAAACTGCATTCTTCTTATTAACCGTATGACAAAATCATTCTATGTGTATAGACTTCCTGATCTATTTAGCAGTTATCGTGTGTCGGTCATTTCGTTATTCATGAATAAACCCATTGACAGTGGCATTATCCAATATATAATATATATAACGAATATGGTTGATAGGATTTAAATACAGAGTTTAATTGTATTTATTTAAACGAAACAATGAGAACTGGCATCAATAATAACAGACACAATTAATGTATCATATCAAATCTTAGACTGTTGGCTCACATTTTGCGTTTAATTGAACGAACAGTTCTGTTATGATCTGAATGCAGTTGGTTCCACTTTGGCTGAATGTGCTATACATAGAATAGCTTTAGCTTAACTTTTGTTCGAGTTATTTAGGTTTGTCAGATAACGAATAGTGGTAGAAATATCATAATGATTTTGACGGCCGAACGTCCAAAATATATATCGCGAGGTGTATAGAATCGCTGTTCTTCCGCATTTGGATTTTATCAACCTGACCACTTTTGCCTTCAGATTGAAGGTGGATTTGTTTGAGTACACATGTAGCATGTGTTGCGTGTGTTACAAATTATTTCGTCAAAATATAATTTAAAGCTTGCCTTAGCCTTTTTTGGTACACCTTTCAATAATCTTCGGTTTTTCATGCTCTTCAACTTCGTTTTCGGTTTGACGTTCTAACTGTGTCAATGATGAGCCTGGTGTAGACGAAAAGCACGTCTGGCGTACAAAATTATAAGCCTTGTATATTTTATGAGATTTTACGAAGACATGTAACTAAGAACACCATATCTCCCTTCATAACTCTAATCTAATGAACACTACAGGGAAAAGTAAACGCAGGCATTAAATGAATAGATTGAAATCAACATGGCATATTTACTTGTATATAAAAACATATATATAACTAAATCACAAATAAGACAAAAGGGTAGGCCTGGATGTAATTGTACAACTACCCACTGTTATCTCTAATATTATTGATTATACTTGATTTTACTTAAAATGGTCTTTGATATCTATATATCTAGCAATAGACAAACGAAATACTAGTATTACTGAAATTATTAAATGATATATTTTAATTCAGCTGATTAATTGGTAGCTAATCTTTCCTAATCCTGCGAAAACACATACCGGGTACTTTCCACTGATGCTATTTACCTTTTTAATTTATACTTGAGGATAATCTTAGTCGTTTCTTACTTTATTGGGTTTAATGCATACCACTTAAGTTTAGTAGGCGTTAAGTAAACCAACTAAGATTTTACTAAGGAAATATTTGTTTAAAATGTTTTATGCATACCACTTAAGTAAAAAGGTAGGAGTTTCCTTAACTTGAGATTTTACTAAGGAACAACTTAACTTAAGTAGCTTCATGCGTACTGGACCAGTTTGTTAATTGAATAGCAATCTCTGCTCTAATTTAAGAGAACTATAACACACATACGAAATTAGAGGCAACATTATTTTACCGATTTTCAAATCTCACAAGTCCATTCAGAACATACAAATATAATAGGTTAGGAACAAAAACTAAAGAAATAGCATTTAACTCCAAAATAGAGGGATTCCTGATGCGTCGATAGGGTATGTGTCACAGGGTATGCTTGAGTCACTCGCAATGCGGATACACTTAGTCAAAATGCCACAATAAGAAACCAGGCGAATACTCTGGTGTCTAGAGATATAAGACTGCGAACGCATGTCGCAAGAGAGACGAGACAAAGATACATCTTATCGGTCAACAATCAATTTGTGATGATGACCGTAAAGCATATGAAATGTCGATTCTTCCTCATAACCCTGTTGCAGCCGTTTTTGTGCGCATGAGGAGCACAGCCCTGTTAAAGAAGTCTATATAATGAGAAAGTGTACGACCGTATCGTATCAATTAAGATAAGTAAACGCCATACGATCGGAAGAGGATAGGTTACTGCTGAGAAAATGGAAAGTTTGCAACTAGAAAAATGAAATCATCACATTTGTCATAGATTCTAGTGTGTAAGGAACGCTCAAACTAAAATATTTGAAAGCCAGGGATGGATACATATGTAGAAACGTTAGGAGCTATAAAACCAGAGAGACATAAACGGAATAGGCAAATTCATCTAAGGTCAACTTTGCCAACTAAGAAGTTCAAACCTTGTAGCTCTTATAATCTCTATAAATTGTATCCATTTAAGGGTGTACCAAACACTTTTACTAAAATTAATAGATTCGGCTCGTTTAATTTTCATAAAAGTTTTACAAAATACTAACTTTTACTTGTTGACATAAAATATAAAAATTTCAAGAAATTTGAACCGGGCAATTTACCGGAATATAAATTTGCCACAGACCACAATTAGTTTCTCTTTTTGTTCTTTATAACGTTTATCACATTAAAAAAAATCGCAGCATTTTTTTTTTTGTTTTACTAATCTTTTGTGTGTGTAATGTACACCGAAAACTGTAAATATTACCTTTTTGCACCTTGCCTAATCACTCTTTCCGTATCAAAATCAGTTTAAATACAACATTCAAAAATTTATTTCAACTCTCTTCTTTCATTTCCATCCCATATAAAGTTAGAAATGAATGAAAAAGGGATAGAAAAAATAAGCAAAAAAATAAAGAAAAAAATACACCATAATGAAAGGGAATTATATTCGTCATTAATTTCTGTTTTGTGCCATTTCATTAAGATATATAGCAGTTTGACAAACACTTATTTTGATCATTCAGAAGCTTGATTTCTCTTCACTAATAGTAGGTGACTAAACCGTTAAACTGATTATTAAAGAGTTTACCCCATTCGGTGTTGTGTACCCCCTTAAATGCAACAATCATGCAAACTAGACTCTATAATTATAGACACACTTTTAAAAATACTACTAACAGTCTTTTTTTAACAAAATATAATACATCTGAGGATAACAAGAATCACTTCAAATATTGGACAGTACAACAGGCCCATAAAACCACCGAAACATCGAAAAAGCAGACAAACAACAACGAACAACAACGAACAACATACGGTCTTTGTATCCTAACTTTGTACAGGCAGAAAATGTGGGTGGGTTTAAACAACAACATGCGCATAAACCTCACCCTTTACCTATTTATACCTTCTTACGTAAAAAATAATACAAAAAATAAATAGAATCTTAACTACCAACAGGATGACCACTAACTTGACAAAGGAAAAAAATCGGCACAGAATTTGGAAAGCAGGGTTGAAATGTGATCGCTATTACAGGAAACTAACTTAGATATCTATAACTGTTGGTTGGATATTGTACCTGCATTAAGCGCAATTACATAACATTGATTACCAAAGAGGCGGTAAAAGATATTTAAATGTCAATTCAATGTGAATTTGACAGATTTTTACTGAGTTTGACCATAAACTGTGATTGATAACAATACAGGAACAAGTCTGTTATTAAACGGTCACAATTAGTACTGATAAGAATATCTACAACTGAAACGTTCAAGATGACTTTTTTTACAATAAATTGATTAATGGTGATAATTTTGTCATTTTTAACTGTCAAAGAAATTAACGTTTGTACAATCTGTTATAGGTTTATGTTTTATGTTGAATTAAACTCTCTTTTGTACAACTTATGATCGAAAAAACAATAACTAATTGATGAAAATAGAGAAAAGATACCAAGGTGTCATACGTCTAATAAAACGGACCACATCATGGGTAAAAACAAAACGAAAAAGATCGAGACAAATAACCAAAAACAACATATAGAGTTGGCAACACGAACCCCACCAAAAACTGGAGATGAATTCAAATGTCCAGGGAGGTTTATAAATGGCACTACTCATGCAGTACAAATCCAACGATAGGTCGCAATCGATAATCTCACAATCGAGGAAGAAAGAGGATGTCATTTTCGTTGCGTTTAGTGTAACATATCCGTGGTTGTCTGTGGTATAACATAACGGTCAACTAAATCATGATGTCGTTTGCAAACCTTTCGAATGGATGACAACTTCACCACTTAGAACCCTTGATGTAATGGCTTCCTTGCTTTCAGTAATCCTCGAATGAAGGAAATCGTAATAGGAAATGCTCTGAAATATCGTATCAACTGGAAGATGTTCATGTATACTCCAAATGCAATCGCGGAAATAGAAATTTCAAAATGGGACAATCTAAATTATTTTTTGCGTTAAATAACAGTCCTTAAACTGTCTTCGTTGTCAAGCTGTAGATGTACTCCTACATATGGGGATAATAACATGTATTATTGACTCCCTTGCAAAATCAATGCTTTGGTAAGGAAAACCTCTGAAAAGTATTATCATTGATATAAAAACAAAATAGGAGGTACAAAATGTCATTAGATAGTGAAGATTGTGTGAACATTTCAAAAACAATCTGATTAAGGGTTGAACAATGAGTTTGAATGTCCCTATGGTACCTTTCGCCTCTCTTTTAACATGGTGAGATTGTTTCAACAAATAGTAATTATGGTTTTAAGAGGAGTTGTGGATACACAATTGGTACCCCAAAATATAGCAATGTCAAAGTAAATGCTTTGTTAAGGAAAAATATTCTAATAAAAAAACAGAAATGGGAAGTGCAAAATAGTTAAATGGTTAACATTCTATGAAAAGTGCGAATCGAGAAAATCTTTTCTCCTGTGGAGTACCGATATTTGTTTGTAAACGAAATGCATCGTGGGAAAATCTCAGAAAACAAATACATTTGTTACAACAAAAGAAGATTATCAGTAATTGTGTTTCCTTCATAAAACAGAGACGTATTTAACAGGATAAACGTATGCATAACTTCCAATGCATTGTGCACATCTAATTTATACGAGAAAATCAGCATATTGATTAAATGAAAAAAAGTTCACGATTTATAATTTATTGAAGTGGACAAATACTATGACAACCATGTAGCAAAGGCAGTGGAATGCACATTTAATGTGTTCGAGTGCCTTCTACACCATAATCGCGTGTAGCACAATGATAATGCTCTATTTTCCTATATGAGTGCGATATTTTTCTGATAGAAATGCGTTAATGTTTTTAAAGTAAAAAACTTATTAATTTTTA